ACCGGAGTCGAGGCGAGCTGGGAACCATTTGGCTTTGGCTAAGACCGCTCCGTCAGCGCTCGCTCGCTCGGCGCGCTGTTTCCGCGGCCGCGATGATGAGGAATCGGCACGGGGAGAGGGGCGAGGCGTGAGCGGCGACATCTCGCGGCCTCGCGGCTGCGTGGCCCTGCCGAGTCGTGACTGCTCCCCACGCCGCGGGCAAGGCGAACACGATGTTGATGATGACGAGAAACACGCATGGTAATGTGATGGTGGTGGTCATAGTGGGAGTGTGATGATGATGACGGTGGTTGTGTTGTGATGATGGTCATGATGATGATGGAGGTGGTGGTGTGATGATGTTGATGATGATGTTGATGATGATCAAGGCCATGGTGGTGGTGGTTACGTGGTGGTTGCTGGTGGTTCGTGATGACAATGATGGCGATGGCGGCGATGCTGCATCCACGCGCTGAGAGAAGACAGCACGCGGTGTTGGCAGTGGCTGACAGCGATGAAGGGGAGGAGTTTACAATGAGATGAGGGCGATACTGGGTGAGTGATGATGGATCCACCCGCACCCACTCACTCCCATGTCACCCACCCTCTCACCAACCCACCCACTCACCCCCATGTCACCCACCTTCTCACCAACCCACCTACTCATCCCCATGTCACCCACCCTCTCACCAACCCACCCACTCACTCCCATGTCACCCACCCTCTCACCAACCCACCTACTCATCCCCATGTCACCCACCCTCTCACCAACCCACCTACTCATCCCAAAAGAATCTCCTAACACACATCACCCACCCACTCACCCCCATATCACCCACCCACCAATATACTCACCCCCCATAGCACCCACAAACTTACCCACGGATCACCCACCCACTCACCCCCAGAGCACCACTCACCCCCGTGTCACCCACCCACTCACCCCCGTGTCACCCACCCTCCCACCCGTTCACCAATTTGGCCTCAATTTGCCGAAACATTCGTTATGCGGCGACGGAAAACAGACCAGGCCACGAAGTTTATCGCCGCCTTGACAATGATGCATGTCACCCTCTCACCCGACCCCCCGCCTCGCCCGGCATCCTCCCCCCTCCTCCCTCCCACAGCCAGCGCGCGCTCATAACCTCGTACGTGCGTACAGAGTGAATACATACATTAATACATGCGTGTGTGAAGAGTGAATACGTGCATTGATACACGCGTGTGTACAGAGTGAATACATACATTGATACACGCGTGTGTGCAGAGTGAATACATACATTGATACACGCGTGTGTGCAGAGTGAATACATACATTGATACATGCGTGTGTACAGAGTGAATACATACATTGATACACGCGTGTGTGCAGAGTGAATACATACATTGATACATGCGTGTGTACAGAGTTAATACATACATTGATACACGCGTGTGTGCAGAGTTAATACATACATTGATACACGCGTGTGTGCAGAGTGAATACATATATTGATACATGCGTGTGTGCAGAGTGAATACATACATTAATACACGCGTGTGTACAGAATGAATACATACATTGATACACGCGTGTGTACAGCGTGAATACATACATTGATACACGCGTGTGTACAGAGTGAATACATACATTGATACACGCGTGTGTACAGAATGAATACATACATTGATACACGCGTGTGTACAGAGTGAATACATACATTGATACACGCGTGTGTACAGAGTGAATACATACATTGATACACGCGTGTGTGCAGAGTGAATACATACATTGATACACGCGTGTGTGCAGAGTGAATACATACATTGATACACGCGTGTGTGCAGAGTGAATACATACATTGATACACGCGTGTGTACAGAGTGAATACATACATTGATACACGCGTGTGTACAGAGTGAATACATACATTGATACACGCGTGTGTACAGAGTGAATACATACATTGATACACGCGTGTGTGCAGAGTGAATACATACATTGATACACGCGTGTGTACAGAGTGAATACATACATTGATACACGCGTGTGTACAGAGTGAATACATACATTGATACACGCGTGTGTACAGAGTGAATACATACATTGATACACGCGTGTGTGCAGAGTGAATACATACATTGATACACGCGTGTGTACAGAGTGAATACATACATTGATACACGCGTGTGCACAGAGTGAATACATACATTGATACACGCGTGTGTACAGAGTGAATACATACATTGATACACGCGTGTGCACAGAGTGAATACATACATTGATACACGCGTGTGTACAGAGTGAATACATACATTGATACACGCGTGTGTGCAGAGTGAATACATACATTGATACACGCGTGTGTGCAGAGTGAATACATACATTGATACACGCGTGTGTGCAGAGTGAATACATACATTGATACACGCGTGTGTACAGAGTGAATACATACATTGATACACGCGTGTGTACAGAGTGAATACATACATTGATACACGCGTGTGTACAGAGTGAATACATACATTGATACACGCGTGTGTGCAGAGTGAATACATACATTGATACACGCGTGTGTACAGAGTGAATACATACATTGATACACGCGTGTGTACAGAGTGAATACATACATTGATACACGCGTGTGTGCAGAGTGAATACATACATTGATACACGCGTGTGTACAGAGTGAATACATACATTGATACACGCGTGTGCACAGAGTGAATACATACATTGATACACGCGTGTGTACAGAGTGAATACATACATTGATACACGCGTGTGCACAGAGTGAATACATACATTGATACACACGTGTGTACAGAGTGAATACATACATTGATACACGCGTGTGTGCAGAGTGAATACATACATTGATACACGCGTGTGTGCAGAGTGAATACATACATTGATACACGCGTGTGTGCAGAGTGAATACATACATTGATACACGCGTGTGTACAGAGTGAATACATACATTGATACACGCGTGTGTGCAGAGTGAATACATACATTGATACACGCGTGTGTACAGAGTGAATACATACATTGATACACGCGTGTGTGCAGAGTGAATACATACATTGATACACGCGTGTGCACAGAGTGAATACATACATTGATACACGCGTGTGTACAGAGTGAATACATACATTGATACACGCGTGTGTGCAGAGTGAATACATACATTGATACACGCGTGTGTGCAGAGTGAATACATACATTGATACACGCGTGTGTGCAGAGTGAATACATACATTGATACACGCGTGTGCACAGAGTGAATACATACATTGATACACGCGTGTGTACAGAGTGAATACATACATTGATACACGCGTGTGTGCAGAGTGAATACATACATTGATACACGCGTGTGCACAGAGTGAATACATACATTGATACACGCGTGTGTACAGAGTGAATACATACATTGATACACGCGTGTGTGCAGAGTGAATACATACATTGATACACGCGTGTGTGCAGAGTGAATACATACATTGATACACGCGTGTGTACAGAGTGAATACATACATTGATACACGCGTGTGTACAGAGTGAATACATACATTGATACACGCGTGTGTGCAGAGTGAATACATACATTGATACACGCGTGTGTGCAGAGTGAATACATACATTGATACACGCGTGTGTACAGAGTGAATACATACATTGATACACGCGTGTGTGCAGAGTGAATACATACATTGATACACGCGTGTGTACAGAGTGAATACATACATTGATACACGCGTGTGTGCAGAGTGAATACATACATTGATACACGCGTGTGCACAGAGTGAATACATACATTGATACACGCGTGTGTACAGAGTGAATACATACATTGATACACGCGTGTGTGCAGAGTGAATACATACATTGATACACGCGTGTGTGCAGAGTGAATACATACATTGATACACACGTGTGTACAGAGTGAATACATACATTGATACACGCGTGTGTGCAGAGTGAATACATACATTGATACACGCGTGTGTACAGAGTGAATACATACATTGATACACGCGTGTGTGCAGAGTGAATACATACATTGATACACGCGTGTGTGCAGAGTGAATACATACATTGATACACACGTGTGTACAGAGTGAATACATACATTGATACACGCGTGTGTGCAGAGTGAATACATACATTGATACACGCGTGTGTACAGAGTGAATACATACATTGATACACGCGTGTGTACAGAGTGAATACATACATTGATACACGCGTGTGTGCAGAGTGAATACATACATTGATACACGCGTGTGTACAGAGTGAATACATACATTGATACACGCGTGTGTACAGAGTGAATACATACATTGATACACGCGTGTGTGCAGAGTGAATACATACATTGATACACGCGTGTGTACAGAGTGAATACATACATTGATACACGCGTGTGTGCAGAGTGAATACATACATTGATACACGCGTGTGTGCAGAGTGAATACATACATTGATACACGCGTGTGTGCAGAGTGAATACATACATTGATACACGCGTGTGTGCAGAGTGAATACATACATTGATACACGCGTGTGTGCAGAGTGAATACATACATTGATACACGCGTGTGTGCAGAGTGAATACATACATTGATACACGCGTGTGTGCAGAGTGAATACATACATTGATACACGCGTGTGTGCAGAGTGAATACATACATTGATACACGCGTGTGTGCAGAGTGAATACATACATTGATACACGCGTGTGTGCAGAGTGAATACATACATTGATACACGCGTGTGTGCAGAGTGAATACATACATTGATACACGCGTGTGTACAGAGTGAATACATACATTGATACACGCGTGTGTGCAGAGTGAATACATACATTGATACACGCGTGTGTACAGAGTGAATACATACATTGATACACGCGTGTGTTCGCCGTTCGACACTTCAGCTGGGACCGTGCGGACAGCTGTTCCTGCAATTGCTTGAACGCGCTACATCCGTCTCGTCGTATTTTGTCTTCATGATTTTGAGTTGGTGTGAAGAAATATAGGGTACAGTGATATAGGATTATTATGAGCATCCATAGTTGTAGTGCCTTACGCCGATAATCTCGACTCCAAGGCAGCCTCGTAGCGCTCCAGTTGATATGTGTGTATGTTGAACTTCTTTCGCACCGTATGTAGCCAACCGTGCTAATCGGAGGTGCGGGGGTAAGACAACAAACTAAACACAAAACGATGTTATCACGAAATGGGTTTTCCATCGAGATCATTTAAAAGTGCATAGCTCCAGTGGCTTCCTAATATCGGAAGGAAGAGCGTTCCAGACGGCCGCAGAAGCACGTATGGAGTGAGGGATGAAGCCACGTACACACAGACAACAGGGTGATTCAACAACAAACATATACGCAGGTTAAAGCCCGTTACTGAGAGAAAAATAATGCATAGACGTATTCTATGGTTATTTCGGTAAAGTCACGTAGATAGAAAAAATAATACCAATAGAATAATAAAAATGAAAATAAAGTGAATAAAAAATATCACGACGTTTCGATCGCAACATCTTCATTTTTAGTATTTTATTGTTATACATGTTTCTATCTACATGACTTTACCAAAAAACCCATAGAATCTGAATTCCTGCTGTCACGAAAGTTTTAAGTCAAAATTTAATGCATAGACGTTTTAGCCCATTGGCCTTCTTAATGAAATGTGCTAACACAAACTAAAAACTAAACTATAAACTAATTAATTTTACCAGGACAGGCCCACTGAGCTATGCATCTCTTTTTCTGAAGCGACAGGCCACAAATGACAGCTCAACGAAGTGGCTTGTCACGTGGAAATGTAGAGCAGCCAAATACTCTGAACGCGTGATGTCGATTCTAAATGTGGAAGGAAAATCCCGACAACCCGGAAAAGCATCCACGCAATCACGAGGAGAGAGGCACACAAACTCTAAAGATTCAGCAGGCGCCAAGAGTCGGAATGGAACGCACGACCTCTTCAATACCAGTCGAGGTAGTTAACATCTCGCCACCGCGGCGCTGTCATCAATTTTAAATTTAATTTTCAGATAGATGATTGCAATGCGTTAACGTGTCCTGACTTTTGAGCCACCCTGTATGTGTGTGTATAGATATACTGCGTGTGTGTGTGTGGTGTGGTGTGTGAGTAAAGCTCGATGCCGAGGTGCGAGCCCGGATCGTTGACATTGAGGGGCGCGTGGAGCGGGGAGCACGTGGCCGCGCGAGGCGTCGCTGCGGGTGGCTCGTGGCGCGGCGCGTCGCTGCCAAGGGGTGGCGCGCCTTGGTCGAGCCTCGCCATTGAGTGGCAGCCGAAGGATGGAATTATGTGAATACACTTATATTTGTTTTTCTATATATATACAGGATTACCCTAAAGTCGTGTACTTTGACACTGCCATTAAAACGTTACAATTGTCTATTCTTCAAGTTAATATTTTATCTCTTATCGTTATTAACATCTATTCTAGATTTGAAGCTTTCGTGACTGCAAGGATTCAAATGCTTATGTTTTGTCGGTAAAGTCACATAGGTAAAAAAATTACAATTAATCAAAGTAAAATAAAAAATAAAATAAAAATCACGACGTTTCGGAGGCAACACACGCTTCCGTCTTCAGGTGGAAGCGTCACAGCACGACTGCTGCAAGTACGAAAGCTTGTGTTGCCTCCGAAAACGTCATGATTTTTATTTTATTTTATTTGTATTTTACTTTTATTAATTTTAATTTTTTACCTACGTGGCTTTACCGAAAAACCTAAGAATATTAACATCTATTTTTCTTCCTCTTCTTCCTCCTTGTTTTTCAGATCGCATTTAAAAATGGGAAGAACAAGAATGCCCGAATGAATTGAGGCAACACACAATTGATGACCGTTCAAAGATTACACGTGTAATTATTTTTTTATTTAAAAAAATGGTATTCCACATCCTCCCTCACATCATACATCGCAACATCCTGACTTTCTGGACGCCATTGCCAGGGGCATCGACGGTATCAGGCAAACTGGACTCATCGGAGCAGGTGTGGGGGGACACACGTGTAATCTTACCAAAACAATCCTTAATACATTTCAAAATACTATGAATTTATAATGCATGAATGTTAATGGTCATCAGTTTGAACATTTGTTCAAGTTAATGAAATCATCCTGTGTGATTTGTTAAAATAAATATAATAACCCTATGTGTCCTGACTTTTGAAATACCCTGTAAGCATGACATGCGTGTGTATAAATGTATACGTGTATCGTGGGGAGCGGCAGTGTAGCGTTTAGCGCACTGCGCTACGAACCCGGCAAGCCGAGTGCGATTCCCGTTCACGGCCAACACCAGTGACGATTATCTGAACCGGTTCTGGCTCTCCCCTAGGTCGACTGAGCCTCAACCTGAATGCGCTGTGTAAACATCGCCACTAGGGAGGCAAAGGCGGCCGGTCGCGGTGTTAACCACCCACCCCCTCGTGTGCCGTGCTCGCTAACAGCACTTGCCCTAACAGTCTGTCAAGGACACACGAGGGATCGTTGTCTTGGTCCGTGTATTCTGGGGGGCAAGAGCGGAGTGCTTCGCACAACCTCCGCGCTCCGAACCCAACAGCCCGAGCTCGAGTCCAGGTCACGGCCCTCATCAGTGACGATTATCTGCTGCGGTACATCCCTTAGGTCGACTCCGCCTTAAATTAATACACGTCGCAGTGTGTAAACGTCAGCACTGGATGGAGCGGCTAAACCACGCGAACCGGGCGCCGTGCCGACCTCCATAGGTGCTCGCTAATAACCGCAGATGCCTCACCAAGTGTGCCAAGGCGACGCGGGGGGATCGTTGTCTGTGTGTGTGAGTGTGTGTACACGATGGGCGATAAGGCGCCCTGACAGCCCCGGGGGGGGGGGGGGCGCTGAGGAAGCCCAGGCCGCCGCTGCTCGCGACTTGAGAGTCGCTCCGCAGGAAAGGCGCCGCGTAAACATCGATCGCTCATTCCGGGAGGCGCACACAGCAGCAGCGACAACAGCAGCAGCAGCGACAACAGCAGCAGCAGCAAGTGCGGCATGGCCACGACACCAGGACGGACCAGCGCGGGCCGCACGCGCGAAGGGCTCTCCTTCTCGTCTGTGCCAAGTCTGCGCTTGGCCCTCGACTCCGCCTGGGGAGTTCATCTGGCCACCGGCTCCCTCTGAAATAATAAAAAAAGAACTTGGATTGACTTCGCAGTCAAGGTTCCTCCTGCCATTGAGACTCGCCGCATGAAGTTCGTGCGCAATGGTGTTTAGTCATGATTCCTACAGCGATGATGATGATGATGATATAAACTACATCCCTGGCATTGTCTTGGTCCCGGGATCCGCGAGCGCCGTAGCCCTGGGTGAGGAAGACCGAGTGAGCAGAGCGAGTGAGCCAGGGGCATGGTGAGCCAGGGGCATGGTGAGCAGGACCGGGTGAGGCGGACGGGGTGATGGGATGAGGAGGGCCGCGAACGCTGCGACTCTCCAGACTGTTTGAAAGACGCTGTCGACTGATTAATCGAAAGAGGAAGTGATGAGCGCGCAGGTACACAGAGCTCTCTGTCAAGAGCACAGCTGTTTATTTTAATGGCCTTGTGTCGAGCGGAAGCTCTGAGCGCAAACATAACCATTTATCTGTGGGGTGCGGGTTGCAGGGTGCGGGTTACGGGGTGCACGGCACGGGTTGCGGGTTGCAGGGTGCGGAGTGCGCTTTGCAGGGTGCGGAGTGCGTGATGCGAGGTCGCGGGGTTCGCTTGGCGGGGCAGTTTGTGCGCTCTCTGAGCCCCTCTCACTCCTCGTGTTTAGCGAACACGCGGAGAGAGAACGCTCATGAGAATGCAATCATAATCACAACATAATTATAACAAAAACAACAACAGCCGGTCGGAGTGACGCGTACATATCGAATGAACGTTTAAATGTAATTATATTTGCGCGAATGTGCGCTGCGAATTTATACATTAAGTTATCAATTCAATATTGATTTGAAGCTTTCGTGACCGCAGGAATCCATACTCTTTAGTTCTTTCGGTAAAGTCACGTAGGTAGAAAAATAATAGACCACGACGTTTCGATCGCAACACAAGCAACCGTCATCAGGTGGGACAACCACAGCAAGAAACAACTGCTGAAGTAGGCGAGAGATTTGCCGTGGCACGAGGTTATATAGTAGTGTATCGTGTAGTGTAGAGTGTAGTGTATAGTGTAGTGTGTAGTGTATAGTGTGTAGTGTATAGTGTAGTGTGTAGTGTAGTGTATAGTAGTGTATAGTGTAGTGTGTAGTGTAGTGTATAGTAGGCCTCGGCAGTAGGGGGGGGGAGAGAGAAGTGGGGGGGAGGAGGCGGGGCAGAAAGTGGACCCCGCAGCAGAATCTCTATGCACAGAGAGAGAGAGAGACACACAGAGAGTCGGAAATAACAGCTGACATAGGCAGGTAGGATGGAAACATCACTGTCAGTTAAGACTTTACCTGGTTAATAACGTCCTTCCAATGATTACTCAGTTTGTACCCATCCTCTCGGTTGAAGTTGTGTCCGTGTTTATATATCTGGATGGCTTCATGAACAAATCTCTGATAATCGCCGGTGGGTTGCCGAGTACCTTCGTCTTGGAAAGTCAATTTCGTGTGAGCCACTCACCACCGCGTTAGAACAATGATCAGCAACGGCAGAGGTATTGGTCCTACCGTGTTTCAGATCTGCCTTGTGTTCACGAACGCGGTCCGAGACATGTTGCTTAGTTTCCCCAATGTAACTACTGCCGCAGCCACAACTCAGTTTGTAGACACCCGGGTATTACATGTCAGGAATCACATCCTTTACAGATGAGATAAAATCACGGATTTTGTGTGCTGTGTTGAAAAGAATCTGGAACTTGTGTTTGTTTAAGAATTTGGAAATCTTGTAGACAAAGTGTCCCAAACATCCAGGAATGGTAGCTTGCCATCCTTTTCCACTTTCATGATGAATTTGATGGCTGGGTGTATGGCATTGATGTGGTTGAGAAATTGGTTCAGTTTTGGCAGGCCATGTGACCATATGACGAACGTGTCATATACGTATCTCTTCCATAAGGAAAGACGTAGGATGGATGTCTGGATGGCATCTGTCTCAAATTTCTCCATTAAACATTCGCTTACCACTGGCGATAAGGGAGAACCCATTGGGGTACCCTCATTTTGTTTGTAGAATGTACCATTCCAGGTGAAGTATGTGTTGGTAAGGCAGTGTCTTACCAAAGTTGGTACATCTGATTTCAGTCCCTGTTGGGCCAAGTCTTCAATGATGGCAATGGTGCCAGGTACAGGTACCTGACACCAGCTACTAGACGGCACACGTGAACCACGAAGCTAAGGTGGAGATACGAGTCGACGGGAGCCTGGAGGCAACGCGCCGGACCTCTGGACTCGGGGAAGCATTGAGGAGTCGCCCCCCCCCCGCCCCCCGCTCCCCTTCCCGTGCGGTGAGACTCACGCCGCTGCTGCTGCCCCACAGAGGGATTGTCCAACAGCCGGCACCAGCTAGTTACTGATGCCTCCCCCCCCCCCCCCCCGGGGGGGCGAGGTCCGTCCGACGGAGAAGTGGCCGCCCTTCTCTAACCATCTACTTATCCGCGTGCATTAAACCATCAATTTGATCGTCGTCATGATCTGACGCGCAAACGCCACGCTCGCGTTCGGTCGACGGCAAGATTCGCCAATCGGTGAGGGGTAAACTGCTGCTGCTGCTGCTCGGCAAGCCAGTCCATCAGGGGAGCCGTCCTCGTTAAGTTCGGGGGGCGGGGAGAGTGGGACTGGACACGTGGAAAGAATCATTCTGACGCTATTTAAAAGTATTCCGCATGCAATTTTCACAGACACCACGCCGATACGGTGCGTGTTGACACTGTTCGTGGTGTGGCGCGGCTTCGCTGGTATTGGTGAGCTGGGCGGCGAGTTTGGTAGCGAGTGATTATTATTTTGGGGGTTTCGCGGTTTCGCGATAACCGCGTGTCCTCAGACGGACTCGATTGGGTCACGGCAATAAGTGGCCTAGAGACACCCTCAATATAATCCAACGCGCGCTGCTTCTCGTTACTGTCAATAAAATCAACGACTCCTGGCTTTCCCCCGAAGCAAATGAATGCGGTCGCTGCTGTTGGGTGACGCTGCCTTCTGTTTCCAGCGAGAGGGACGGACACCTTTGCCCGCTCGTTGAATTTAAATTCCGCGGTGGGGGGGGGGGGGGTAGGTGGGAAGGGGGGGGGGGCCGGGCCCCCGCAGGTGGAGCCGAGGAACCGCGACTTGATCCCCGGCTGCTGGGAGCGCGCCCAGGGAGCGGTCAGGACGCGAACTCTCCCACGCCCCCGGTGGGTTGAGCAGGGCCGGACGCGTGGACACGGAGCCGCGTGCGCGGCACTCCGCCTCCAAGTGAGCCACAGGAACACGGGGACAGAGCGAACACCCTAGTCAGCCACGTGAAGTACACGGAGACACGCAGACGGGTGGCGCTTCATTCTGAAGACACCGAGTCGCAACATCGATTTCAGGAACGGACACAGAACCACGTCTGGACGCACCAGAACAGATCTAGACGCACGGAGAGACGCACGCACCACACGCGAGCACGTGGAGACACAGCCACGCACACATGTGCTTCACGTCCACACATGCACCCCCCCCCCCACATACCCCCACACAACCCCCCCCCCCCCACACACACACACTTGCACAGCCGCTCGCCACACGCGGCGCTAGCAGCCGGAACGCGGCATCGCTGCGACACCGGGGAGCGGGGCGGAAGGCCGCGCTGCTGTTGTAACAGCTTGCGATCCGTCCGGGCAGCTGCTGATGGATCGGGAGAAGGTGTGCGGCTAGGGGCGGCACCAAGGGAGGCCAACTCAGAGGGCCCTTTCTTAAAGCCGTGCCCGCTGCGCCATCCGAGTGATGGCAGCGACCTCTTGAGTGTTTGGTCACGGACTCTTGTGGGCTGCCAGATTCTAGAGTGTTTGGTCACGGACTCAGC